GCATAGTTCTTACAAAGATGTTTCTGTTACCCGTGATTTTAGAATTAATTTGTATGTTGTGCATTGTCTATTTACTTGTGACCACGCTGTGTAGTATTCAGAGTGAAACTGTTACCAATAAGTAATTATTAAGTATTGCAATACAGCAAATTCGATGGAAAGTTACACTTAACAGAATAATAAAATTAACACGAACGGTAAAGGAAATGCTTGAATGCCAGCGTAAAACGAACAGTAAACGATCTTTATTTGTACATACAATGTTGAAGATCGCGATTGAATAAATTATTTATCAAATACTTATTGTATTTACTGCAATAGAGCAGAAAAGCTAGTTGAATTTCTTTAGAAAGAGTCTTCTTGATTGAACAAAGACCTTAAGAATTGTATCAGTGTTGCAGTCAGACCAAGACCTCTTGTACAGTATCCCACAATCCTAGATTATTACAGTGATAATATTCATTACGCATTTAAATTATTTCATACCAATTTGTACAAATCTGTGGCCTACCCTTTCACTTGGGTGTGGGCTACGCTTCAAGGGAGAGGTGATATGGAAGCCTGCCCAAAGCGACTCCAAGATCTCTTGAATGATCACAATAATATCTAGTTTAGGCATGAGACGATTGTTAAAGCACTCACACGATAACTTACACCCTGTTTACAAGGATACAAGGTAAATATAGAACACGTGGATGAATAGTTTTTTTTTAATTTGTTCCTGAATTCACCTCACTGAAGACATATTCGTATTTTAACTAGTTATGGAAGTCCAAAAGCTGGCAGTTTTTAATTGTTACCATTGTAACCAATTAATTATGACCATAAAAAACTTGATGAAGACTAAAAGTTAAGAACTTCTGAGCTAGAGAGTTATGTTTACAGCGATAGTAAGAAATTTATGTATACATGTATATGTAGCATTTACTTTTTTTCAATTGAGTTGCTGTTTCATCTAGAAACTGAGTTGATATTATTTATTTTGAGCACTTGAAGTCAGATATAATTCAAAAAAATATTTCTATGCACGCAACTCGGTGAGGGTCATTTTCTGTGCAAGGTTTTATTTGGTTGTTGTTTAACAATAGATAGAACCTGTCCCTCCCAGGTCTACAAAGACCTAAAGCCCGATACCGACCGACCAGTTACATAATGGATTATCTGTGCTTTGCTAACTACAGGTATCAAAACCTGATTATTAGTGTTGTAAGCCTGCAGACTTATTGGGGGCTTCTGAATACGGTAGCAAAAGTGTCTCAGGATACAAAATACAAATACAATACAATTATAAATATTATGAATACCCAAGTATAAAATATAACATGCCCCCCAGTGTCCCAGCAGTATCTCAATGAACTTACAACGCTAGAAACCGGGTTTCGATACTCATGGTGGAGCAGAACACAGATAGCCCATTGTATAGCTTTGTGCTTAACTACCAACAAAAACAAAACAAAATGAAACTTTTACAAAAGACAGGCTTTTCTGAGATTTTTGCCTTTTTAATTTAACTCGTAACATAAAGAAGTGATAACTCAATTTACCAAGTAAAACCTACATAGTGAATTTACTAAAGGAGAGTTATCCTTATACACAATTCTCTAAAAATGTTGCATCGGTCTTGAAATATCACTTAGAAATGCCCAGTGAATGTGAACAACAAAATACTTTAAGTATAATTAAACATTAAACAACTGGTATAGCTAGCAACCAGAAAAAAAGTAACAGCTTTTGCATGAAAAAAAGAAAATAAATACTGATAAGAATGTTTGAATGTGACTTAACACTTTTAGTGATTTCTCTTTAAGACATGTTTGTGTAGAATGCTGTCATGTAGACAGAATAACTGATATGCAATTTATTTAAAAAAATTAAGTTATTAAGATTTAGTGCATTAATGTTAATAACCTTCATTTTCTAAAATAGAAGCTACTTTTCTGTGCACAGAAATAAAGATTAATTCATTTTCCTTGTTGGCGATTTTCGAATTTCCTCAATCCATTCATTTACCAGAACAAGTGGGATACCTTGGAACCAACTAGAAGAAATAATTAAAATAAAATTGTTATAAGATAAAGGTCCCCTTTTTATTTTTTACCATATAAGTACGAAATTTCATCCAAAAGCATGAACAGTTTTTTTTTTGCTACCACACGAAAAAAATATTCAAATAGAAATCACAAAGTAATTTCTCCTATAAATTGCAATCAGTCACATTTGTTTTTCTTCATAAAGAAAATTTGTTGTCATTTTTTTATTATAAAGTTGCAACCTATTTTACTAAATAAACAATTACAATGAAATTCTTTTAATGCTCACCACGACAACCAATTTTCGTTCCACGAATTAAATTTGCCTCCGTTTAATTTAAATTATAACAAACACGAGCTCACATGCACAGGTAAGAAATGATCTTACTCCAATTGATACTGTAACTTATAGCTTGAAAGGTATTGTATGCACTTATTGCTTAAATTAAACGACCACATTACAGATCTCTTAGGATTCGGGTATAGACGTTCTTAATTTTGAACTACTTACCACAACAAATGTAGCCAATCAGTAGCATATGCTGACACAATCCCGAATAACACAATTAACTGTCACTCTTATAATGTACCCACAGCTGAGGATATTTTGTGGTATTATGACACGAATCTTAGACCTTAGGGCGAGCAGCCCATCATGTTAAACACGAGGCCACTCTTGTCCTATGTTATTTGCCACATTGTGATTTTGACTTCTCTGCTTTAGTGTGTACCAAACGGAGAATAATTTCTATACCAAGTGTCTCCTAACCAACTGTTAATAACTGAGATTCTAGAGACATAGCTTACTGAAAATAATTATTTTTTTACAACTGTTATAACTTTCCGAGAATTGGATACATAATAGCCCTGTAAATTATTGACAAAGTCGAACAAGTTCATTATTTCTGAGTTTGTTATGAAAAACTAAGATGTTTAAAGAATAATAAGGCTCCAAGATCAGATAATATTTCCACAAGGGTTTTGAAGGATTTTAAGAATAGATATGTGAGCCATTTGCTGATATTTTCTAAGTCCGTAAATAGTCGGCAGGCGCCACAAGATTAGAATTTGGCTAGTGTTACTCCTCTTTTTCAAGGACGGTGATAAAAATTGCCCAAGTTATCATAGATGTATGAGTTTTACATCAGTGGCGTGAAAAATTTCTGAAAGCCCGAAGAAAAAGTGCTTTGCAAAGACATCCAGTGAAGTTTAAAATTTTGGTTGATAGTCAGCATGGTTTTACTAGAGAAGAATCTTGCGTTACTAATGTTATTATATTCTTTGAAAAGATTACTGATTATGTAGATGAAAGTAATGGTGGGATTTGATGTATCTGTAAGAAAGCATTTGACAAGGAATCATGTAAGAAGCTTGTTTAAAATATACATACAGGTGTGGGGGATAAGTTGCCTTGTTGGATATAAAAATGGCTGGATCGAACAAAGGAGAGAGTTGTTATACATGGAGTTCATTCAAACTGGATTAATGTCAGATGTGGTGTTCCCAGAAGGTAGCTACAAAAAGTCCCCCCCCCCACCGCATAAAAGCTAATTGGGCTCCTTATTTATTTACCTATAATTGTATTTACGATTCTGGCTAATTAATATCATTAACTTAACATAATGGTGCGACCATCCTGTAGGTAAAACAAATTAAACTGTATGTCTCTCCTCTTGTTTGTGATTATTAACTTTGTTAGGCCCTTCGGCTTCCCCCCCCCCCCGCAATTGCGGAGGCTGCAGGGGCGTATTTACGACAGTGGGTGTACCTCATAACTCAGTGTTAGGAAAGCTGTTTTTTTATGTATGCCAATGAAATAGATAATGGAAAGGACAATAAACTGCTTAAATTTACTGATGATATCAATGTATGTGGTAGAGCAAATATGGGATTGTAGGTTGTATAAACAGAAATACATGGGCATCCGTAGAAATTTATTGAATATAAATCTAAATATGTTATCATTTCACAGTACAGATCTATTGTTAGGCCTCATTTGAAGTACTGTTTGCATCCTTAGGCTTTTTACCTTAAAAAGGACAATGAATTGTTGGAAAGGGCTCAGAGGAGGACTTGTAACTAGAATGATATTTGGAATGAAAAGGTTGTCATAGAAGGATAGGTTTGGAAAAATGTAATTGAAGTGTATAAGATTGTTAATGTCGATATACCGATTATTTTCATAATTAATGGTGAGAATAGCAGAATTAAGTAACGCAAATATAAATTTTGTTAGTGTCATCTTTTGTTAAAACAATTTTTTTTTTTCACAGGATGGTTGACCTTTGAAACGGGTTAGTTTCAGATTTGGTAGATGCAGTAAATTTAAGGGATTCTGTGGGAACGCTTCATAAATATTTAAATGATAAGTGATGGTTTTGAAGCTTTTTAAAAACATTTAATTTAGTTGATGGACAATATAAATTATCAACAGACCCCTTGTTGTTTGTAAATGTTATGTTTGGTTTTTAATTGAAGAGGGCGTTTAGACCCATATGTAAGTAAGTTATTGCCAAATAATGTTACTGCATTGTTAAGGTAACACATATATGTTAAAAACGCAAGTTAAAGTTGAAAACAATAAGTATAATGAAAGTCAGTGAAAACTAAAAGTAAAATGGTTGCTGCCGTTGCTTTTCCACTTGTGAAGTTGGGACTTCTGGCAGTGCGACAAATAGCAAAACCTCTAGCGAATTGGATCAAAACCAGGGCTAAAAGAAGCTTTTTCTTTCGTACTTATGTATGCATGCCACCCGCACAGAGTAAGAACTCAGACTTTGTAAGCTTCTACTCTAATGTTAAGCTTCTAAAATTAATCAGGCTGCACCAGGTTACCAGTTCTCATTTTATTATTGAAAAATATTTATGGTATGGAGAACAACATGGGAAATATATAGGAAGTTTAATATGTATATCTTCTGTATTTTGAAATCACAACAAAATGACATATTATGCGAAGAAAGCAAATACTGAATTATAATTATAGGATCAATTTACTTTACAACCAGAACACATACGCATCTTTTAGCTAAGACTAGAGTAACATACTGAAGTAGGTTAATGGTTAGGCCTGATTCTGAATACTGTGTTCTGTCTTTAACTCCTTATCGTAAGAACTTAAAGAAGGACATTAAAATTTGAATTGATGGAAAAGGTTCAGAAGAGTGCTAGTTACAATTTAAAAGGATGATATCTGGGATGGAAAATTGTCATATGAAGAAATGTTAGAGGAAATCTGACAGGTGTATAAAATTTTTAAGGGAATTAATAGCATTGGTGTGTTATCTGCTTTTTTTTTGTACCTGTACTGTTACGCTTTTAAAATTAATCAGGCTTAACCTGGTTACCAGTTCAAACTTTTTATTCAAAAATGTTCATGATATGGAAATGGGAAATATATCAGAAGTGTTTGTACATAATAATGAGAAAGACAGTACAAGAGATCATAAATATCAATTTTGGCATAGTAGGAATAATTTTTAACTAAGTTTTATTTTTAACAGGGCAGTTGGTCTTTAGAGCAGGTTGCCTTCAGATGTGGTGGAAGCAGTAAGTTTAAGGGAGTTTTAAGGGAAAGTTTGATACATATTTGAATGATAAAGGCTGGCCTTAATTTTTTGTTTTTTTTAATAGTTTAATTTAGTGGATGAGACAGCCTAGATGGACCAAGAGGTTCCTTGTTGTCCATGAATGTTTTATAATATTTTGGCAACAACTATGTGTGTGCGTGTGTGTAGAAATTATTATATCAAAGATGTCCTGGAAGACAAAAATTATATTTACTTTTGAAGCCACTGTTAAATTTATATGTATGTCACATATGAACATACAGGCTTTCATTGTAAGAATAAAAAATGCATGCCTCTAGAGGACAATCGTTTTGAGACTTAGAAAAGAAAGGCTAGATTCCTAAGGCCGTTATATTGTTCTAACAGGGTAATTGACTCATTAAATGAGTTTTCATTGGCAATAAAGGAGGCCAGCACTTTACAGAAGTTTAAGAGGGTAATTGAAGACTTCCTGAAAAATAAAGTGCATTTCAATTTTTACTTTTCCTATGAGTGGGTATGCAAGGACAGCCTTGAAAGAACAAATGGGTACTTGTTGTTTGTAGATTATGTTATGGCTTGAATGACTTATGCACTGCTATGCAAAGATTTTCTTCAGTCATGCTACTTAGTGGATTCCCCTCTGTATTAAATGTGTGATCCAAGTTATATCTCAAATGCATTATCTTGCATTTACTATAATAATAATGGTCATTTGCCAAATATTTACCTAAGTAAAAAATATCTAAGTCATTTAGTAACACCTAATTGTCTTCAAAGTTCAATGAAGTTAGAATATTCAGATGTTTAATGTTACACGCAAACTTTGCTAGTTTACTTATTTTGTTCCTTTTAATATCATTAATGTAAATAAGTAAATGAAAAGGCCCAAGTACTGACCCCTGATCATTCTGTTAGTAACAAGTGTCCAATTTGACTGGAAGCCATGAATAACAAACAACATTATGCTATTTCTCATCCAGCTACACTATAGTCAATTAACTAGTCTTTCTCCAACATACCAATGTGATTTTCTTAGCTGTAACACCTTATAAAAAGCTTTTTCAAAACCTAGATACATTAAATCCACACCTTTTCCATTATCCAGATAAGTAACATCTGCAAAAATAGCTAACTGATTTGTAAGGCAAGGTTTCTATTCAGTGAATCCGTGTTGGCTTTTGTTAAACTCCTTAGTCTGTGTTTCAAGATGGATCGGCTGGGTGGCCAAGAGACTTAGACCATGTGGGGATGATAAAATGAATTTCACTTCTGAACATTAAAGAGTTCCATCCTTAATTTCTTTCATACAGCATGACTTTTTTAACCAGTCTTTCATTGTCTACGTTAAATCAGCCTATTATTTGGATACATACTAATCATCACAGCACCAGGACATTTAAGTTACACTTCTGGCATATAGACTCCAAAGGTCCTTTTCTTATGACTAAACTACTTGTTGTGTACCCTAAATATCTTCTCATAGAAATTCACCAAATCAACATTGACAACCTCTAGCATCTCTTGTACACAGTGAAAAGCTTCTAGTCGATGACTGCTGGTGTGATGCTGCTCCATGAATGGGAAAGCATGCCCTGGTGCATACAGAACCCGAACAATCTCATCAGATAGCTCATCTAGAAAACAGGTTGGCTGTGGAGCTCCATCATCAGCAACCTTCCAGTACCTGCATTTTTTGGACAACTCAAACCAACCTTTTTTTATTATTGTCTTCCAGTTATGCAAAAATAGTTATGTAAGTAAAAACTACATTGTAAAACAACAAAAATATATGGATATGAAATTATTACTTAGTAACAGTTGGAGTAGTAAATCGTATCAATTAATTATTTGAAAAACAAAGTTCTTCATTGCTACCTAACTATTTTTGTAAACAAATATGACAGAGTGTCCCATTTTTAGAGGGGCCCAGTTTAGTGGACCCTAGGGCCAGGTAATACTTGGGAATAATAATAACTCACTTTTGCCTCTATTCTGCAAGTTTTATGAACCATAACTTTTTACTTGAGTGGTTGGTGTGGTGCCCATGTGGCTGGGGCTCGGGCTTAGGTGGCCTATACCATAATCTGGTACTGGTCAAAATTTGTAGACAGTTGAATTTGTTTATAAAGTATAGATATGAATACATTTTTCACTGTGTTATTAATCTTTATGTAGGTACATGTGAAATTCCCTTTTAGTCTGCAGAAAGGTAGTTAGCATTTTTGGTAGTTTTATAATGTAAAAAGTGGGAAGTTGATGGGAACTAAGATTAGTTGAAGCTGGTCCTCTGTTGTTCATGGCCATAAAACATTTTTTACTCTTCATGAAATAATGTATATGGTCCTATTTTTCTTATAAAACTTGAATTTCCTGCATTATTCTTAATATTTGTGTATTTTGTATTATACACATTTGTATGTCTATGTGAATTTCTTTTAGTGTATAACTGGATGGAAGTAAATGTCAAGATGAGGATGTTAAATCTTGGAAAACCTTCAGAAGTACCAAAGCTAAATGAAGCTATGGCCATTGATTTAGGAGCTGAACTTTTGGGTGAAGCAGTTATTTTTTTTGTTGCTGCAGCCTCGATAATAGCCGAGTACATAAGATCATCATTAAAAGAGAAGGATAAAAAAGTTGCTAAGGAACAACATTTTACAAATTTAGAAAGTAAGATAAATTACCTCAAGTTTACTGTTGATAGACAAGAAGCAGAAATTAGACACTTAACCCGTGTTTATTATGTCTTAGAACAAAACCATTTAAAAAATAAACAGACAAAAAACAAGCCTTCTAACCATGCATCAAATAGTGGTGTTGAGTCAGATAAAAACACAGGAGTCCTACAGCAGGCAATAGATTATGCTGTCATATCTATAACAGGAAAAAGATGATATACACTGAAATGTTAATAAAGTTATTTAATTATTTTTGAAGGTGTGTTAATCAGTAGTTTTATGTTGCAAGTCTAAGATGGCTTGTAACATCTGTTTGTTTGCTAGTTTTATTTAAGAAACTTAAAAGCAAATAATGAATCATTAAATTATATAGATAATTGTTATTTTATATTAATGAGAGAACTAGTCAAAGTTAATACTGTATTGAATTTTATTGAACTTGAAAGCTAGAGATTTATTTGTGTAAATCTTAAATGTAAGAAATTAATTTATATACAAACACTTTTAGCTGTATGTTATTTACATTTCAATACTGTATAGTTTCCAGAATTTTTAATGGTATTAAAATAAGTATTTAACAAAGAAAGTTGTCAAGTGAGACAGGTAGCAAAAGCTAAATACCCCATCAGAAAGTCAATGTTCATGAGACACTAAAGTTTTCTATGTGATATGTATTTAGATAATATTAAATGTTGTAGTAATCAATATTTGAAATTGTTCCTTTTTCATTATGAAGATGTTTGCACTAGCTGCATTCCAGTTATTGTTTGTTGTAGCAAAATATATTTTTCATGTAATGTAGCCTATTAAAAAGAGAAAGTGTGGTTTTTAATCAGTACATTTCAACTATATAAAAACCATTCTTCATGAAACAGTCAAATGTGACTAATACTAAGTTAGGAATAATCTCAAGTATTGGTCGTCACCACATTAAAAAATAATCTTTGGGTTGTCATTCAAGTAAAGTTTATAGGACGAAAAATTTACAGCATTATAACTGCACTTTAGTACATTGTAGTGAAAATTATCCTATACAAGTTTCCATATATAGAATTGTCTTGTGGAGTATTGTGGTTTTCTGAAGGATCATCTATCTGCTACATCTAGAGAGTTTTAAATCAACAAATGTATGAACTCATGCTTAATAAGTTAATTTCCAGTTTTGAATTTGCTAGCTGTTTGATATATGCAACAGAGGCTCATAAAAGATACAAATTAATTTCTTAGACAGCATTCCTGACTGGTTTAATTTTAAATTTGTACATGAGAACTTCACATAAAAAGATCAGTATAAGAATATTTAAAGACACAAAACTATTGTAATCTTTCCTTTTCTTACAGTTTCTCATTATTGATTCTAGAGTTATGTGAAGTTTCCATAAAATTTCAGAAATTTCAGTCTTTCCAATCTTTGGTCAGCAGTTAAAAAAAAAGGTGCAAGTATTCTTTTTCTTAGTGGTATGAATGTGAAGAGGAAAGTTAATTGTGCTCACTTCTGCAAAGTTTAATTATCAACAAAACTTTAGATCTGCTTTACAATGGCTTTCCAAATAACCTGTTTTCACCATTTTTTGACACTGAGGGAAGCAACCAAAAAAAGTTAGCATGCCAGGTGCAGTATTTCATTTTTGACTGAGCACTTGCAATGCCAGCACCTAGTGACCAACCCAAAGAATCCACAGTTTATCTCTCATAAATGTTATGATATATATTAATCCTAGTGCTAGCAGAAAGAAGCAATGAATTCAATCTGAATCTACTCAGCTAGGGCATTTACTTAATTTTTTCAGTTGTAAATAAATATTTATTCCTCAAAGCATGCTATATCATCATTGAATGAAAAAGAATATTGACTGATACAGACAAAGAATACCCTTCTCCCCTTTATCTGGTTACTATTGTTTGCATAACTTGGTTCAGAATAAGAGTGCTGTCTGGAGTCTTTGCTTCTTCTGGGTCTTTTCCAAGTGTTGTCATAAGGATAATATATTTTCCACATTTTTTGTCAGCTGTTTGGTAATACATATAATATTACCAATATCTGATATACTAAACTGGCCTGGTATGGCCAGGTGGTTAGGGCACTTGACTTGCAATCTGATGGTCCTGGGTTCGAATCCCCATCCCACAAAATATGCTTGCCCTTTCAGCCATGGGGGCATTGTAACATGATGGTCAATTCCACTATTCATTGGTAAAAGAGTAGCTCAAGAGTTGGTGATGGGTGGGGATGACTAGCTTTCTTCCCTCTAGTCTTTCATTGCTAAATTAGGGATGGCTAGTGCAGATAGCCCTTGTTTAGATTTATGTGAAATTCAAAACCAACAAACCAATCCAAAAAACTAAACTTTAAAAAATCAACAAAGCCAGCCCTTATCATTCAAATATTTATCAATTCTTCCATTAAACTCCCTTAAATTTATTGCATTCACCACACCTGAAGGCAACCCATTTGAAAGGCCAACTACCCTGTTAGAAAAATAAAACTGTCTTAGTGCCCAAATTTATACTTGTGTCTCTTAGTCCTACCATTCTCATCATCAGTTATGAAAAAGATGATGCATCAAAATATAAGTTCCATTAACAATTTTAAATACCTCAATCAGACACCCTCTAACTTTTTGTTTTTCAAGAAAAAACAGTTTCAAAGATCTTAACCTGTCCATTTTAGGTGCCATCTTATTAACCCTCTTCTGAACCCTTTCCTACAGTTCAATGCCCTTCCTAAGTTAAGGAGCTCAAGACTGAATACAATACTCCAAATGTAGCCTAACCAGTGATCTATATAATGCAATTATAACCTCTTCAGACTTGTATGCAATATTTCTGTACATCCAACCTAAAATCCTATTTACATTGCCACTAGCAACAGCATACTGCTTGGATGGTTTGAGACTGATCAACTAATACTTAAGACATTTTTCTTTCATAATTCTGTTGAGGTTATTCTCATCAGAATTATACCTATAATTCAAATTATTATAACCCACATGCATTTTCTTGCATTTATTGTAATTAAAAGCTACCTGCCATTTATTTGCCCAACTTCATCAAATAATCTAAATCCTTTTGTAAAGTAACAGCAGCATCATCACAGCCATGAACACCGAAGTGTTAATATTGTCAGCAAATTTAAGCAGTTTATTAGCCATTTCATCATCTTTGGCATTTATGTAAATCAAAAAGATCAAAGATCCTAACACTGAGCCCTGAGATACCTCACTTGTGACAAAAGTCCAGTTTAACTGACTAAAATCTATTTATAATAACCTTCTGCTTTCTTCAGTCCAGACAGTTTTCTATCCAGTGAACTAATGTATCTCCTACACCAAACAATAATTTTTTTTTAAAACAAATAATAAGCACTGCAAACTAAAATATGTTCACATTTCATCTTGTGCTTTACAGCTGAATTTACATGTGTTTTGGCTCATAATTTGCCTAATCATCATCATTGAGTTACAGTAAACAAAAACCAATCTTATTTCAACCTTAGGATTATTGGATATAACATCATAAGAAGACTCTCATTAAGAAATGTAAAGATGTTTGGAAAACAGCTGTTGGAAAAGAATAATATATTTATTTCAAAGTCAAAGTATTATTATAACAAATTTCACCTTATTATAGAATTCATAGTGTAGTCAAGCAAAATTAGAAACTGTTAATAAATTGTACTTTTATGAGTATAAGATGTGAAATGTCATATTACTAATTTCTGTTGTGGTACATTATTTCCTCTCACATAAATAGCTATTCTCATTCAGTGCTTCACTCTATATGAAAAAATACAAATACGCTTGCCACAAGCCTTCTATCTCCTCTCCATTGGAATTGACTGATTCCAGTGCATTTCTCATGCAAATCATTATGCACCAATTAAAGTGCGACATACTCTCATGATGCATGTGACTCCCTCTATTCAATTCTAGTGAACTAGCACTTCTTGTTTGGCAGTATTCATCTTCAGACACTTTGTTTGGTGCTCTTCGTGTGTGTGAAGTTAATAGTTTAATTTCTGAAGTAGGATTTCTTCATTCTTATTTTTTCTTTATATTGAAGAAATCTTTCAGTTTGACTTAATTTCCCAGTCTTTATTTATTTTTTCTCACACTTGCATATTTTACATCAAACACTTTTGTTTCATTTATTTATTTCCACAATGAACTCTGAGGTTCATGTTCCCACTTCGAGTGTTATACTATTTTCACAGGCTGCAGGTGGGGAGACCCATCATTGGATTTCTTTGCTATTATCCATTGTGAGATTAATTGTTATATGGGAGAACTTTCTTCTTCTGAGCTTGCCCCACTAATTCTCCTGAACAAGTCGAACCTGTTCAGTCCAATAAAGATTTGATAGCCTTTTTACACCACTGGATTTTGTTGTGCTTTTCCCTACCCCTCTTGCAGAATCAGCTAGTCCTAATACGGCATTTTTCGACTTGATTTCTCAGGTATGTTATGTTTTATCCATTTCCCTGTTTTTCTATCATCTCTTATTACCTCCATGTTGTCTCGTTTGTTGTTTTTGATAGTTGCTTTCATTGTAGTTGGGATTTTCTGGGTTATGATATAACCTTGTCCCGGGTGTATTTGCCACCTTTTTCTGTTCAGGATTTCAGTATACTTTCTTTGGTGATATATTTTCGATCATGTATCCGAGACTTTGGAATCTCGTGTCTAATCTGTGCATCAACATTTGACCCTTTCCTCTTTGGTTGCACGTTTGTTGCAGTTGGAGCCACAACACACCCCTATTCCTTTCCCATCATGGTCTTTATCTATCCACCCTGTACCCCTTCCAGGGGTTTCTCATATAGTGATTTTATCCAATGTTGATGGGCATGTCACCAACAGTACTGGAGATAAATCAGAGGGATCTGGTCCATTGGGAGCTGGACTATATTATATTGTTACTCTTTGACATTCTTTTACTACAATTCCATGAATTCTTTGGGTTTTATCCGAGGAACTTGTTCTACTATTTCTTTCCCCAATACCTTTGTCCCTCGTACCCTTTTCCTTCCCCATGACTTGGGATCTTGCCACCAGCCTGTGTCTGTCCAAGGCAGTACAAGATTTTCTGTCTCTACAGGCTATTGCACCTGTTCATCATTTTTTTCCAAGGTTTTATTCCAGGTTGTTTGTTGTTCTCATGTCAAACTGGAGACTAGGGGCCTGTACGAGGTTTGTCCCACCTCATTCTAATTATCAATCCACCCTGTTTTACCTTGGAGTCGTTTCTCACACTTAGGTGGACTTTTTCTCCAAGTTTATCAATGACAAAGAGGAATACCATGATTGCTTATAGCCCGGCATGGCCAGGTGGTTAGGGCGCTCGACTTGCAATCTGTGAGTCAGGGGTTTGAATCCCCATCACACTAAACATGCTCGCCCTTTCAGCCATGGGGGGATTATAATATGATGGTCAATCCCACTATTTATTGGTAAAAAGAGTAACCCAAGAGTTGGCAGTGGCTGGTGATGACAAGCTGCCTTCCCTCTAGTCTTAGACTGCTAAATTAGGGACGGCTAGTGCAGATAGCCCTTGTGTAGCTTTGCGCAAAATTGAAAACAAACAAACAAATGCTTATTTGCATATCCCAGTATTTCATCACTTCGATCCTTTCAGTTTATTCTCCATGGGGTGGTTTCTCTATTTCATGCACTGACCTTTGGACTTGCTTCAGTCCTGTATGTTTTGTCAGGTGTACAGAGCATTCGTTTGTCACTTACATGATTTTGGGTTGTGCTTTCTGCTTTATTTGGTCGACTGGCTACTGTTCGCTCATTCCAATCAGGAGTCTGCCTGTTACCCTTATCAGGTGCT